CTTTCAAACTCGTGAGGCGGGAATTCCCGCATATTTCTGGATTTTCACGTGCTAACCCGCATGCGGGAAGCGGGAATCGGAGTTTGAAAGATGTCTATTAAGGCACCTGGGTTATCCGCGCTNTTCCCTCATATGGGGCTCGAAAGCCCCATATGAAATCATGCAGGAATTGACTCTTTACACGCCAGGGCGACGGGATTCCCGCGGGAATATAACGAACAGCCCGCTACCGCTTTCAAACTCGTGAGGCGGGAATTCCCGCATATTTCTGGATTTTCACGTGCTAACCCGCATGCGGGAAGCGGGAATCGGAGTTTGAAAGATGTCTATTAAGGCACCTGGGTTATCCGCGCTATCTCTGCCGCGTCTCGCTACAAAACCAGTGACGTCATCACACACACCCAATATCATCTAGTCTATCCAGGAAAAAACGGAAAACAATTGACAACACAAGAGATGCTTGTCCGTGCGCCACGGTTCGATGCCGTCCGCATGCTCCAGTTTCGCTGCTCCGGTGCCGCTTCTCCGGTGACGCTGTGGCCAGTCGTAGCACGACCAAACTCGACCCGCTCCGTTTCGTACACGCTCTCGTTGCTGTCTTTGCCAGTCGGTTCCTCGCTTTCTGCACTTGGGGTTCTTGGTCTGAAAATTCTCGCGCCGAAGGGTCAACCAGCCCAATTAGCTCGTCACCACCTGTCCCCTCCTCCTTTGATGGCAAAACCAGGTTATTGAGACAGTACAGCTCCCCCTAGCACACCCAGGGCCGTGTACATAGTGCCCGTCCACCTTCCTGATGGCGTCTGCCTCCGCGCACAAAGATGAGATGGGCATTTCTGCCTTCCAACCGACGGCCATGGAGGCCCGCGCATCTGCCCCTTTGTACCTGACGCACCAGTGCCGACCCAACTCCACCATTACGCACGCCTCGCGGCGGGTGCGCCGAAGCAAGAAGGTATCGGTCCCTTGAGGGTGAGTCTAGCCCTGCTCGCTAGAAAGACTCCCCCCCTCGCAATGGGTCATGCCTAAGCAAAACCTTGCTGAGGCAGCGAGGGGAAGAAGGGAAATGCCTCCGTCTGCACCCCGGTGAAGGAGTGCTCATGGCATCGCTGGCGACTGACTCCACCTCTGAACCGCCTTGGTGAATCTTCACATCTTATGACCCTAACGAGTCCCTGCCTCTTTGGACTACGCAAAACGCATACCGTCATCGTGTCATGTCGATTAGGGTGCCCTCAACGGACAGAAAAGACAACCATGTGAACGATGAACTCCACCTCTGACGGTGCGGTGCACGTCGTGGTTGTCCATGATCGAGTGGAAGAACCCTTTGCTGTGTGCGCGCGTTTTTACACACGTTGAAATAGATGTTGTACATACAGCAGAAGATGGCTACAGCACAGCAGTACAGCAGAAGACTACACATACAGCACGAGCGACCAAAGCGGCCAGTGCTGAGAATTTCCGCCAGCGGTATTGGTACAACCATCAACCATGACCTCGGGCACTGCGAAACAACAGCACATTCCCACCCGCGAGGCGTGGGGAGCACCTTGTTCGCAGCAGCACACGGAGTCACTGATCAGCTTTGCCCAAAATGCAAAGACCTAGACTATGCACCCACGCGGAGCCACGCGACCTGTTCGAAGATCATCTGCGTGCGAGACCCGTGGAATCCCAACGTAACATTACCGCGACCGCAGGAGGCGGTACAACTCCCCCCTCCCACGTGACCCCGGTTGGGTGGTCTAGCTGGTAGAAGGGGAGGATAGTGGCCAGAGGGGCAGACGACAGAGTCCAACAATGGAAAATATATATATAGACTATATATAGCTGTACCGGTCGAGGGTTCAAGTCCTGACAAAGGGAGTTTTTTCTAGCTGATTAAATTCTGGTCTCCGCTGGAAGCGCCGCGTTGCAAAGCTCGTTGTTAGTAAGCTTGATCGACTTCATAGGTCGCGAGGGAACGGACTGCTGAACCCTGCTCGCGATTAAAATATCTCAGGCAGGCACCGCAGGAGGGGGTCCAACCCCCCCCTCCTATGTGACCCCGGGTGGGTCGTCTAGCTGGTAGAAGTGGAGGGTAGGGGCCAGTGGGGGCAGACGACAGAGTCCAATGATGGGAGACAAAAACAAAAAACTATTCCACCGATTGGTAGGGGCGGAGGCACTCTTATTATCTCGACACCGTGCACTTACAACACGTGATCCTTTCGGAATGGGCTCATGAGGGCCATCAACGCGTGTGGTGACCAATGACAACAGAAACAGGCAGCCGACCAACCCGCAGCTGGCTGTGACTGCCGCCGCTTGGTTTTGAAGAAACGCTCAGCAGCTCACACTGCGCATGTATTCATTTTACCTCGAAGAGCCCCGCGAACCTCAACCTCCGCTTGCATAAGTTCTCAACAAACACACCTTCGTGTCCGTTCGCGCAGGAACCCAAATCGCGAACAACAGCAGTAGCAGCAGCAGCAGCAGCAGCAGCAGCGAGCGCACCCCAGATGGGCAGGCAGGTAGGTACAGCAGACAGGGATTCACGACTGGCTCCAGTCACCGATGCCAATCTTTTCGGCCTGTTATGCAACCATCTCGCAGTGCTGACTCATCGCCCAACACCTGGCAAGCGAAGGCCACGATATGCTTAAACGGTAATATTTCGGCGCCTCCTCTCTTACTACTATGCTCACCGAAAAGACTCCATCATATCCCATTGGACTGTGTATCTCGAATGGGTAGTCTTTGTGTGTGTGTATTTGTTTTTCCTGAAAATTAAGCTGTCAGTAGAAATGTCACGTGCATGGATGCATCTGGGTAGAGAGAGATCGGAACGGTTTTTATTTCCAGTGTGAAGAGCAACAACAAGGCATGCACATTGTTTTGAAGCGGAAAACGAACGGGTTGTTCCCCCGGGCTTCAAAGAGCGAAAAAAAAACAAGTGGCTGATTGACTGAGATACATATGCATAGGGCTGGCTCGTTGTGAGGCTCCTCGTGGACCGAAACAAAACGTTTTTTCCTCTTTATGGAAGCCATGCTAACTCGGTGCCAATTCTCTTCTCTGCACCCGCACCCAAGGCCAGCGGTGCAGTTCCCATTTTCCACCACGACCGACAACAATAACACAACCACCCGGCCCCAAAACTTGTTGTGTCTCCATTTTCTACACAGCAACACAACAAGCAGCATCCTGCTCCTCAGATTTCACGGTGACGAGCTGTTAGAGTGGAGCGCCTTGGAGTTCTGGGTAGAGAGAGATCGGAACGGTTTTTAATGTGAAGACAACAACAACAACAACAACAACAACAACAACAACAAAAATGCAAGCGGCACGTTATTTTTAAGCGGAAAACGAACGGGCGTTCCCCCGGGCTTCAAAGAGTGAAAACACAACTGGTTGATTGACTAAGATACATTTTTTTTGTGGACTAGAGAGCTAATGTGAGAACCAACAACAACAACAAATATGCATAGGGCTGGCTCTTTGCGAGGCTCCTCGTGGACCGAAACAAAAAGTTTTTTCCTCTTTTAAGAAAGCCATGCTCACTCGGTGCCCATTCTCCGCACCCGCTCCCAAGGCCAGCGGTGCAATCCCCATTTTCCACCACAACCGACAACCACAACACAACCATCCGGCTCCAAAACTTGTTGTGTCTTCACTTTCTACACAGCAACACAAAAGCAGCATCCTGCTCCTCAGATTTCACGGCGACGAGCTGTTAGAGTGGAGCGCCTTGGAGTTCTGCTAGAATTTCCGTGGAAGATTGCTCGTGCCCGGGCATTTTCCACACTGGTAGGTGGTGGAGGTGATTTTCATTGATCAGTAGTCGACGTGGAAGACTCTCGCAAGCCATTTAGCACGGGACATCTCTCGTTTTGTGCCAGGGAATTCCTCTGCTGGTGTTCTCTGGCAAGTTGGTATGTATGATGCACCCGCTTGTTGCTCAACCAGACCGGAACGGTAAGGTGATAATGGACTTTGTGCGTGTGTCCGCGCTGTAAGCGCGGACGGTGCTCTTTCCATGCAGTGTAATATTTTGACTGCTGTAGTAAATTAGTGTAGGGAAACTGTAAGCGTCGGAGAGATGGCACCCCCGTGGCAGCCCCGTGTTAGCGTTTTTTTGTTGCGTATTTCACAATAAGTACCAGTGGCGAAAAGGGTAGTATTGGAAACATCTCGTCGAGGGCTTTCCTGAGAGGTATCGGCTGGTGATCGCACCCTCCTACTTGGGGAGAAATAGGCTTAACGAAAACACTGACACGGGGGTACCATCTCGCCGACTCTCACGGCAATCTTTGTTTCCTGGAATGCCTCTGACCGGGGGAAGCTTCGTCGTATGCATATGCTCTGTGGTTGTTCTCCGATCTTCCGGCGGCTGCGGCGCATACATACCTCTCAATGTTTCTCCACCTGTACTGTCCCTTCTCATAGCAGCAGCTGTTTGCTGTATCGCCTATTTTTGGAGAAAAATGATACCCAAACAATAATATGTACCTCGTCGATTTCACATCATCAGTGTTGACTCAAGGCAATATCTTCCGCCCACTGATGAAATGATAGTAGACGTTGTACTTTGAGTACACGCTCTCCGCGGCGACGTTGATGATCCTTTGTTGGGACAGTTCATCACGTCATTAGTTGCTTGCTCCTGGCTCTTGGGAGGAAGGTTAACACATGTGTGGCCCTAGTTGACGGTAGGTGTGATTTTCGTCAGGTATTGCTCACACCGACTGTAGGATTTCTATCAAAAACACACGGCCTCATATTTGAGTACTGGGGGATTGAAGGCCCCGCCGCCCCCAGTGGGCGCCGGGGCCCGAAACGCAAACCGAAGGTAGTTAAATTGAATGATCGGAAATTTTAAGATGTGTGCTGTGTAGCGGTATGGTCGTGCCCAACGTATGGTAGTGTCGAAGACTTGAGTGATGGTCCTATCACGCTCTTTGAGCTCTGGGCGACCCGGTTGTGGCCTCTCAGGGCTGAACGGATGTGGTACAAGTTGTCTATACGTCCATCAACCCAGGTTTCATTGTGTAGTCTAGATAAGCATATTCGATTTTGTGCTTTTGCAGCTCTCATTAGATGGCCATCGCCTCTTCCGTGAGTATTTTGGCCTGATCTGCAATCCACCGCTAAAACTGGATGGTCTATCGGCTGGAGCAGATGTATTAGTCCCGAGGGATCTTGGAATCAGGTACACCGCCGAATTTCGATGAAGTCTAATTACGTGATCGTGTGTTGGTTATGTGCGTGAAAGGTGAGTCGTTGATACTCGATGCAGCTGAAAACGTCGATGAGAAATTCGTTCACCCAAGAACCAAGTTGTTGAAATCGGGGTTCCGTACCAACAACTGTGTCACCCATTGTGCGGGCGTGATTCAATTCCCAGTTGTGCTTTTCAAGGCAACTTGCCAGCCGGATGCCCTGCCTTCTGGGAAAAGCGATGGAAAAGTAACAGAAATAATTCTTGTCGTAGGCGGAGATGACATTTTTCTCGCCCGGCAAGTGCCCTGGTCATTGCTGCTCTGTCACGTGGCATGATCACTTGAGCGCGTGTGCCGATGGCCATTATTCCGCAGAAGGAGTCCGGTAACGAAAACGCCAAGGAGTTGAATATCGTTCTGGATCCAGGCCTCGAGGCAACAGAAGAGTTAGTTTTACGAATTTCGGCGAGTGTTCTATCAGATTATCATATTGCAATGCATGTAGACAGTACATTTCTGATGATAATGCGATCATTGTGAAACCGTGCTAGGTTTTTATCGAGAAGAGAAATGCCACAGGTGCATGTAGCATGGTGAAACTTGTATATGTAGTTGTTTGGTATATCAATAGAAGGAAGAGTATGATGTATCTGTGTTTACTTCACATCGCACGCACTGGTTGCTCATTGCAGCTGTAAGGCGGCCAATATTCGGCGAATGAAACCTGTTGTAAAGCCGTCCGTACCTTTGTCACGACGGCTTCATC